CCCCAAAACCCCAAAACCCCAAAACCCCAAAACCCCAATCCATTAAAGAATTGTTGAAATATTTTTATAAAAATGGAAAATAGAAAAGCTTGTGAAGTAAGGAAGATGCTCTCATTCAAGATGAAGCCACTTACTTTGAGCCCTCAGAGAATGTAAGATTTTATGGACTGGATCCTTCATCTCGGAGATCTGTTGATTCTTACTTAGATTTTGAGCAAGTTTTCTTGTATTAATATTCGTACAAGCTTGAATAAATTCATCAAATAGAAATATTAAAACTGTTTTAGAGGGAGAAAACGGATTAAATCAAAGAAGGTCTCACCTATCAAGATTGTAAATATAAACAGCTTTGAATTCCCAGAACTCCAAAGGAACTCAAATCCCTTTGGAGAGTTAGGATTCGAGAATCAATCAATCAACTTAGAGTAAATCAACACATTTTATCTGATTTTTAATTAACTTCTTCAGCAAATCTCCAAAACCGACTCTTAGAGGGTTATCTCACAACAAGAGATTTCCCACAATAAATCGTGAGCCAATAGGGAGTAGGTGGAGGCATCGTCAGAAGAACCATTTCAAGAACCTAAACTCAATTCAATCCAAGGTAGATTACTACATCTCTCCATATAACAAGGAGCCGCTTGTGATGAAGTATATTGATTTTCAGCAGATGCCAATGGCTACCTGTGGGAACTTGTCCATCACTGACCTAGGAATGGACAAGTGGAGATAAAAATTAGCAGGCTTATCTGTGACCCTAAGAAGGATACCTCCTTCAAGGAGACCCTTAAATTAATCAAGAATGCTTATAATTATAAGGAAAAACAAGAAGACATTGAACAACGCATCACTGGGGTAAGCATTGCATGGATTATATATAGCAAAGAGAACTTTTCTTCCAAAGAGAGAAAGAACGCATCCAGGAAAAAGAAAGGATCAAAAAGTAAGTCATCCCTTCAGGTGATTACCTATAAAGCATTTTGGGTATTAAGAAAATGCAGTTCTACTCATAAATAGTTCATATCCCGCTACAAGGGGTTCTGAATCCTTTTATACCTCATGAGTAATCCTAATAAGAATTATAGCGCTAGAAAGCTCACTACGATCGATAGGAGGAAATCTATGTTTATTGGAGTACCACAGCAAGTAAGAGAGTACCTAAATAAACTATAGTCAAATTCTTTGAACATAAGAAAGCCATCACTTGAGATTAAGACAAGTACTATAAAGGAAGAGCCTCCTCAGATTACAGCGAAACCGATCCTTCACAAAGGAATTCCTGAGAACCCAACTTTCCCATTTATGAAGAAAGAAGGAAGTAAGTGTTTTCATAATTACTGTAGGAGGACTAGTAAAAAGGAAGAACAAAAAGATAGCAGCTGAAGAGTTTGATTTGAAAGGGGATTTCCTCATGTCTCTCTAATTTTACCTAAAACCCTCGAGAAATAGTAAGATTAGATTTTATTTCTAGCAAGAACAAATCTAGAATCAATATGAAGAACTATAGTAATTCCAGGTAAGTTAAGAGAGGTATTCTGAATATAGGTCTAAGCGAGCGCTTAATTTCAGTAAATCTCGGATCTCAGGAGATCATGGTACCTTATAACCTTATCTTCAGGCATAACAAGCAACTTTAGTTTAGGGGCTAATAATAATTCTTTCCGAGTAGCGAACCTACCTGAAATAAAGCTCCAATCTTTGTCAGACATGAGACAAGACTTCCGAAGAAAAGTGTTGATTAGTAAAAAGGACCATGGCAGTTTAAAATTATCTAGCAGTGTGAATGTATCCCCAAGGATATTTCCAGGCGTGAATGAATCTTGAGAAAAGTTGCGTCAGCAATTATAATTACAAATATGGAGTATTTTCAACCTCTAATGCATCACCTGGGGTTTTGGGGTTTTGGGGTTTTGGGGTTTTGGGGTTTTGGGGTTTTGGGG